TTTCAATGAGGTTCGTCTTTTTTATCTTTTTTTTTAATTTTTCGAATTAGCAGTGCGTATAAAAGAGAAAAGGGTACAGAATGCGCCATGCATTTGAATTCTGCTCAAAGTCGTCCCATTGTTAGTTTGCTGCATTTCAAAGGCACGTCTCAAGGTAAAATTGATGTGTAAAAGCGCTCAGCTATGAAAGTGGAGGTGCGTCATAGACCGAAACTGAAAAAGGGAACCAAAGAAACCACACACAGAAAAAAAAACTAAAAGCACGGGCTGAAACCTATATTTCCCGATGAGTTACGACGGAGGAATAGAGCGCGCAGAAAGGCGAGAATACGCGAAAGAGCATGCTGTACGAGAGAACACAGAGACTCGGGCTTTGCAAAGCGAGTGGTAGAGTATCTACTAATAGCTCCCTAATGGGAGCATTGACAAGGCCCTAGGCGCATGGTGGCCTTCGCAAGTAGCTCTATCCTATAGATCCACCGGTTGAATTACTGTAGTGGTCTGATTCCAGGATGAAATTGAATTTTTGCCATGACTCACATGCTAGGAGATCTTCAATTCTCCTTACTACTAATTGTTTCTTAAGCAACGTTTTCTGTAATTATGGAGATAGCAAACCTTCAGTACTAAAAAAACCAATGAATCAATCCACTCACTATAGGAGAATGTTTCAGTCAACCTACTACATGGAATCGACACTTGGTCATCCAGTTTTCCAGACAGTCTTCGGTAAGCGGTTGACTCCATAATGATTGATGAGCACGTCTTGGCTAACAGTTTGAGTTTAAATCGACGATGGCACAATGACCAAACCTTGACGACATTCCTCTTATACGGGCAAGTTATAGGAAAGATCGCCGTTAATATCTGCTACGGACGCCATCATCCTCAAAACTGGATGATGTATGGGCTGAACGGCGCCGAAATCATCTTCAATCCTTCTGCCACTGTTGGTGCTCTGAGGTATGATGGACATCTTCTCTGTGCCTCTCTAGTTTTCTCCAACTGGAAGAAGGCTGAGTAAAGCAGGGCTTATAAGCGCTGACAAAAGAGTCTGCTGAAGATTGTTCTCCTTTCTGCAAGCCATATAAAGGAATTCCACCTGAAAATTTACAGGGAGAATTCGAGGCTTTGAAAAAGGCTTGTAAAATACACGCAAGATTACTCTAAAGACTAAATGATTTTGGAGAGAAAAGTGCATCATATGGAGGTAGTTATTCGTACGATTTGATTTCAGTGAGCCTTTGTGGGGAATCGAAGCCCGTTGTGCAGCCATAGCGAATCATTGCTTCACAGCCGCCATAAATCGTGTCGGTACCGAGGTTTTCCCTCACGAATTCACCTCAGGGAACGGACTTCCAGGTAAGCAACAATAAACTTCGGATATCTGTGTTGAGGAATTGCGGAGTGCTTGCCAGGATAGGTCAACAGGTCTCGGCCTGAATGCACAGCGGCTTTTACCGAAAGGTATACGTCTGCCGCATCGACATTTGCCTCGTGAATGAAGCAGCAAGTCAATATTTACGGTACAGCGTACTTAGCAGCCTGTAACTCACCAATAGTGAAGCATCTAGGTGTATACACCTGCGTATCCGACTTTGTCCTCATCACAAATTTTCACAAACAAACAAACACACAAACAGCAAACATTCACACCAAGTCAATTTTGGACCATCCGTTGTGGTCTTGTGTACGTCACCTATGCACATTTTGCATTTTTTTACATTTTTTTTCCGAACATTTTCATCATCGGACCGGCCCACATATTGGGCCTTTCCGGCGATCGCTTGCGTCATAAGCTGAGGGTCTTTCGAACGAGGCCCAGACCAGACCAATCTCGTTTTACATTTGCAGACATTTTCCTAAAGAAACAATGTCAACAAGACCACTTCGTCTCCGCAGGTCAGCATTTGTGACGTGTTCTCGATGTGAGAATTTCTGCGTTCATTGACCTCTTCCTCACAGCGAATGTCTCTTTGTCTGCTTTTGTAGACGACCAGCATTCCCATGCATAGTTGTGGATGCATTTGGCTGGAATGAAGAACGTTACGCTCTTCTTCAGCCTTGACGCCTCAGTTCAGAACTGTTTCTATACTTGTGATACCATTCGCTGAACTGCAGTTACCTCTTTCCACCCTAGCCGCACATGCCCTCCTCCCATAATTCGACTACAAAATTGAGATGAAAGGTATTTTCTTCAGACCTGCTGATGGCTTTACCGCAATGAAATCGGCAAAAGCAAGTCTCAGGTTATCTTGTTTCCCGATGAGTGCAAGTATGTACTTCTGACTGGTAATGACCGCACCTACCTGTTAACCTTCCATGATTCGATGCCTATGTGAAGCACCAGTGAAGCTCATTACCTATACTGTACGTATACCATGAAAAGCTGAGTTGGGATGAAATGGTGCCCCGGTAGCGTAACTGGTAGCGCACTTGCCCGGAAAGCGAGAGGTGCGGGTTCTAGTCCCGCCTGGGGCGAAAGTTTTGTTCACAACCCAGCATTCTTGTGAAACTGAAAATTGATTGATGAAAGCACAATTGTTTGGCGGACCTGAAGAGGCTAGTTTGATGCCCAATTGTACGAAAGGGATTCATTCCATGAAATAGTTGCGTTTTTGCTGGCTGCTCAAGCGGGGCAATTCATTAACAGTGATAGATGGGCGATCCAGCGCCAATATCTTAAGTCGAATTCGATCATTAGATTTATGATGGGAACTGAGCCTACATGGACTTTGCCAAAATTATAGCTATTTATTAATCTCGATGCTATACATCCATGATTTCAAAAAAAGCGCCTAAACAGGACAAAGCAATGATAGGCGGACAGTCCATTTCAGCCACAAGTATGTAAGACATCGCTCTATGCAAAACCACGGAGGTTCTAATCTTTTAAGAAGCTAGTCGGAACAGTCAGAGTCTGTCTCGAATTGAAGCATGAATACAGCTGTCCAAATTGAGGTCCAGGACTCTCGTATTTTGACCGCTTGTTTTACAATGAGCAATCCGTTTTGTCTTATGTCAATGACACGATGATCAACCCCCAAATGGGCATTTTTGAGAATTACGCTACGCAGCCGGGTGTCTTCATCGTAAAGTATTACCCCATGCCAATTGGCGGGTCCTTTTATCACAGAGTTCATGCTTATCATCACAGTTGGTGGCAATACGCATCAGTAGTAACCGTAATGTTTCATGATTATGGCGCTCAGTACAACTTTCCTTCAACTATGCCCCTAGAGAGAGTCTGTCCACTGAAATCAAAATTGCTCTTGAATCGAGAAAATCATTACTGAACGGTCCCTTCAGCAGTAGCCTTTCCCATACCCGATGCTGACCTTTTAGCTATTTTGGCCTTTGTGATGCGTTTGCGGCTCCATAGTATTCGTGAAGCACTACTTGTCGAGGTCTTCGTTTGTACCGGCCATCAACTCCAAAATTATACAGGGGGCCAGAAAAAAGACATTTTGCCCAGGTCGCACTTCGGCCTTTTTTTCTTCGCAGAGATTGCCGTCGTTGACGGAAGTTCCTCAGCAAATATTCCCTAAATGTCCCTCTATAAGTACACGCAGGCCCTCCTTCACTACCCTCACCGTCTTCAGAATATGACGTCATCTGTCACCGTCGTCGAGCTCAGGGAGGCCTACAGTAACTGCTTCAGCCTGAAGCTCTTACATAATTTCTTGGATCGATTCAACGTGGGATAGTTTCCTAGGGACATTAGCTCTAACTAAACCCCCTCGGAACCCGCCCTTCGGAACCCGTCGTAACGGTACACGATCAGTCGAGAACCCCATTGAGCTCGACCAGAGCACCATGTTTCCGGGGCAAATTTTTCTGATGCCGTCCACGTAGATGGCCACTATGAAGATTTTCTTATGAAATGAAATGCGCTCTTCAATTCTAAGTTGGGAGCACACGCTTTGAGCTGAGCAAAGTGTGATTAAATCCATTTGAGTCTGGAGACAAAATGTCATTTTTTATTGCCCCCTGTACACTTCTGTTAAGTAACGGAAAGCATCGGACACTGTTATACGTCCTACAAAATGTCAGCACTCGATAGAATAAAAGCAATGCTATCCAAGTATGCAGACTGTGAATCTCTCTTATTTTGTAGTAGTTAGAATTCAGAAAAAAAAATACTCAACTCATCAACCTGACAATTAATATTTGTACAGTTTATTCCCTGTTTCTCAATCAGTACAGTCGTACATTCCGGACTCTCTGAATTAGGAAGCGAATCCATCAGACTTGCTGAGAAAGGTTCTTGAAGTAGTATGTGACATGCTTCTCCTCTTGACATTTGCCGGCTCTAATTTCACAATATTTTAACGAGATGTAAAGCAGAGGTACCAGTAGACAATTTGACCCTTTGAGCGCTAAAATGTGTTGACCACTGAATCACTTCAAATTCCAGCTCATCGCGATTTCGGCCACTTCTATGGAAGCAGTTATATTGCTGCCCCAGATGGAAGTCGAACTCCAGTGCGTTCTCAGCAAAATTTAAGATTCGAATCTCTATGGCTCCTTAAAGGAAAAAACTAGGATTTCAGGGACTGTCGCGTACGAGGGATGGAGTGCTCATTGCAGAGGTTGATCTCAATCTCTGCCGTCAGACAAAGGACGCTTGGGGCTTTAGGGTGAGTGGGTTGAGTGAAATCAGTAGAATAAGGAGAGGTGCGCATAGATAAGACCAGGGTTGCGAGGTCTTTTGAATTCGTTTTGCAGTGTGAGCATAACATAGTTATTTCAGATGACAAACAGATTGGATCTCTACGCGAAGAGTTTTGCAAAAGCTGCTGATCCATACTACAAACCCGATATTCGAAAGGAAACCTAATTGATGCTCGAAGATTTTATGAATAAATCCTCAAAGTGTTCTCTCGTTGGAGTAAAGAGTTAGAACAGTTCATTCACACTTGACCTTCAAAAAGCTGATATGATGGAAGACTATCCCTACTATACAGGGTGGCTAAAAAGTACAGGACACGACTTTGCCCACTAGATGACACCTAGCCGTAGAGTGTGTTCTGGATATTTCAAAACTTTTTGAAAGCCTTACAGCTGTGTAAGAAGCTCCATGAGTTACTTGGCCCGAAGTTCATATGAAGTTTTGGAGTTTTCGCATCGACTCATAATTAAGAGACTACCCAAGAAGGTCTCCGAAGTTACGACTGTGTAGAGCGACCCGATATAAAAATATTAGGTTGTCTCATAAATAGTGTCGCTTTTTTTCAACCAAAAAATTTTCATCTAAATCCCCATGCTTTTACATCGTCATATACCATTCGAAAGAGAATTGTCTGCTCTACAAGATGCTATGTTCCTCTTCCACCTCTGTTCCAGGTTTTCAAATTTTAGGCCTGCGAAATGGGAGGTCCAGCCGACAAAAATTGACCAAACCGACAACTAGCTCTAACTTTATTTTCCCTGGGGAGAAATCAATCAATGATGTACCCTCTACTTACTCATGACCTCTTCTGAACATTCCACCCTTAGGTTGCCGAAAAAGCTTTGCCGTGTTTCTTTTCGAATTGGCTGACCGATAAGCCATAGCAATTTTCAAATTGAAATTGTTCCTCGTGAAACGCCATTGTTTCATATCGAACTGGTGTTCCTTTTGTGAGCACTTCTTCTGCTCTATTCGCTCATTTGTTTTGTTTTTATGTTTGTTGGGAATTAGTTCGAATTTTAGGTGTTTAGGAATAAGGTGTTTTATCCACGAAAGTGACCGATATTCAATTGTGATATATTCAATGTCATAAAAAATACCTCATTAACAGTTATTATAGTAGAGTCAAACGACACAGAATATTCCCCACAATACTTCAAAACAATACTGGAACAGTCTCACATCTGGCCCTTTGAATAGTGTAAAAAGCTATATCCTCATAATGAAAGACGAAATGAGTTCTTCTACAATAAGGATTCCAGAGCTTTCGGTTACGACAAGACTGATACGTATATAAACGTTTAATATACGTATCATGCCGATATCGGCTAACCGGC